TCAATATAGAATGTTTAACCTAAAAATAAACAGATTATTTGATAAATGGTATCAGTATATTTAAATCTGCATATTATCTGCAGGGTATCCTTAGCCTAGTCTTAAAGGACAACTCCGGCGCAAAATGAACCTTTGGTCTAATTACACATTGCTACCTAGTCAACCGTTATCTGAGATTTGTTTTCATGATTGCCAAATGTAAATAGTTTTATCTCTAAAAACAGTTTAGCCTGTAACGCTAGTATAATGCTAGTATATAGGGCATAGAGTAATGACAAATAAAAATCGCTTGTTATTACCACTAACAAGTCTCAAAATAGCCCCACACCAACACGACAGCATAACAAGAGTCCCTACATTCAAACCGAAGCATTGAGAACTTTGTCAGTGTCCACACAGTTTAATAAGAAGATATTTTATAGACACAGTCAACTTCGCGAATACAGGAAGAAGCCATCTTTGAAAAATAGTCCATATCAGTCGATCTACGAGCGCCGATCCAAGTGCGCTGAACTGAGCAGAATCTCATATGGTCCGTTGTTTCCAGAAGAAACACAAACACAAACCGTTTACTTCCCTTCAATATGTACACGTAGCCTACTGTTCGCGCTCACCTTATCACCTTATTCACATCTCACCAGCGCACTTGGATCGGCGTTCGTAGATCGACTGGTCGAGACTATTTTACCAAGATGGCTTCTTCCTGTATTTGCGAAGTTGACTGTGTGTATAAAATATCTGCTTATTAAACTGTATGGACACTGACAAAGTTCTCAATGCTTCGGTTTGAATGTAGGGACACTTGTTATGCTGTCGTGTTACTGTGGGGCTATTTTGAGCCTTTTTAGTGGTAATAACAAGCGATTTTTATTTGTCATTACTCTATGCCCTATATACTAGCATTATACTAGCGTTATAGGCTAAACTGTTTTTAGAGATAAAACTATTTACATTCGGCAATCATGAAAACAAATCTCAGATAACGGTTGACTAGGTAACAATGTGTAATTAGACTTAAGGTTCATTTAGCGCCGGAGTTGTCCTTTAATAAATGTATGCTTCATTTTTCTTTAGTAAATTTGATCAATAAATTCAATAATTTAGAATAATAAGACACTATAGGGCTGTTACCCTAGGTAAGGCTGATCAAATTAAATCGTTTACACAATAATGTTATGAGATTGTTTTAATAGGAGTCAATTAAAAATCGTTGTAAAGAACGATACTTTTAAACATAACCCTAAATCGCCATAAGGTGTCGCCAGATGACCGTCTTAATGAACGAGTCATGGATTCAAAATGCTGAATCATTCAGTAATGAGAACACATTGCTTTGAGATGCGCGGTGGGTCGCTGTGATCTTTGTTTAACTATTTTCTCTGCTGAAACAGAAAAAAAGTCAATATTGCATCTAAAATGTAAGTGACTTGACTTGTGTGACTATGTTTGTTGCAGCGATAGAAGTTGCACCCTTGTTAAAGTTTAAGGCCTTGTCTTTTTGGATATATCTTTTTCTTTTCTTTTTTTTCTTTTTTTTTTTTTTTACAAAATATGCATATAACCCATATATTTTAGATTTATAGTTTGCTTTAAATTAAGATTGTATTTTTGGTAATTGAACCTGAATGAATTTAAAATAAATGTGCTATATTTCAGATCATATATTTGAAGAGTTCAGCCTCTAAATGCCATTTGAAATTTTCATCTTTAATGATGATTTTTATCAAACTTGTATATTTAAGTTCAGTAATTTCACTTAAATAACAATTAATAGGTAATTATCATTGCCATTTAAGTGAAATTACTGAACTTAAATATACAAGTTTGATAAAAAATCATCATTAAAGAAGAAAATTTCAAATGGCATTTAGAGGCTTTTGCATCTGAACTCTTCATTTGTTTTGCTTAAAATTTGAACTAACATTAATTTTATTCTCAGCTGAATTATAAATATTTTATTTCTGTATAAATTCATTATTTTTTTGATTTTTCTTTTTTAATCAATGTAGAATGTGTAACTGAAATATAAACAGATTAGGGCTCTGTTCGAGGACAAGAAACTAAAACCAATGCGACATGATGAATGTTTGTTTCCCAAACCATCTCAGAGTAACAGCTTACTTTTCTTTATTACTATATTCTTTCTTACTATAAACTGTACTGTAGAGCTTGCATCAGTCAAAGCAGGGTTACATTTTGCATGTCGTGCACAATAACCCTAAAGGCACCAGGGTGGCCGTGCCACCGGCTTCATATATATATATATATATATATATATATATATATATATATATATATATGCGAGCAACGATGAAGGGCAATAGCCATCGCTTTTAGGTAACTAAGGCAGTGTTTCCCAACCCTGTTCCTGGCGGCACACCAACACTGTGTATTCTTTTTCTCCCTAATCAAACACACCTGACTCAACCCATCAGCTCATAATCAGGTGGGTTAATTGTTAATTGTGGTGTGTTTGATTAGGGAGACAAAGAAAACACGCAGTGTTGGTGTGCCGCCAGGAACAGGGTTGGGAAACACTGAACTAAGGAACCGGGGTTGCGGTGCCACCGGCTTGGGCCCGCAATCTCTGCTCGCAGCTATATTTGTTATTTTATTTTTATTTTCATAATTTCATAATTACTTTGTTCATTGTAATGTCCAGTCACCACACTATACCAGTGTGGTGTATACCAGTACACCACAATGGACATGGTGAAAGTGAAGTACAAAAATATTCTACTGGTAATTTTACTAGGCCTTATAGGCCTACTAGTCTCTTTTAAAAAGGCACTGTTAAATAAATGATTTTCTGTTTATAAAAGCAAGGAAAAAGGCTGAGAAAAAAATAATTATGATGCTCCTGACCCTGGCAGAAGAGCTGACCCTTGGGTTGAATGTGAATTACCCTGTTGTGAAGAGCATCCCTGGGTTCAGTTCTACCAGACTCACATCAGGGACCAGTAGCAGCAACACCTTCATCACTAGGAAATGAGATTTAAATTATCTTTGTACACTGTGAAATAATTTGTTGCTACATTAAATGAAGTAGACCTATAATCCAAATTGGCTGGTTTAGTCATTTCAAATGTTAAATCTTGAGTAATGATAAATTGCTTTGTCTTGTGAAAGTAAAAAACGGATAAACTTATGTTAATGTAAAAATATTTTGCCATGAGTTATCAAACATTGCACTGGAGAGTGAAGAAAACTTCTCAGATGACTGTCCTTTGGAGGAAGTACTTTAATTTAATTGATGGCTTTAATTGATTTCTACTTGTGCCTATGCCTATTATTTCTGACAGGAGTCACATGTACAGAAAGGCCTACAGAAGAGTCTGCACACAGCAGTGATACAGGGGTAGGCAGTGTAGAGACAACTTTTGCTTTTTAGTTGTTGCATGAGGCATGTGTGAGACAAACGACACAGGGTTAAATTTGTTCCCTATATGAGTCTTCAACAGAAAATAGAGTATTTTGAAAAAACAAAAATCAGGGGAGAAATAGAACTTGACAAAGAAAAAATTGCACTAGAAATAGAATTGCTTCAAAATAAACTTCAGAGTAAAATACACTATTTCACACAGAGTACTATTGCTGACCTTGCATAATATCTTTTAAAAAGATGACTGAATAACTGGCTTTTCTTTACAAAGAACTATTGAAATAAAACTAATCAAATAGAGTTTTGCAAATTTTTCTTGTCTTTTATTTTAGGCTTAATTAAACTTTTTTTCTGATGTTGGCAGTGTTGTGTAATATGGCACATGCAATGTCACAGGCCCTGTCAGGTGCAACCCTCAGGCTTCTCAGACACTGAAATCTTCCCTTTAGTTGGCCAAAGCTCATGTCATTGTGTGTCATTGTGTGCCCTTGTCCTAGAGCTGCATTGTAACTGGTCTGGGGTTTGGGTCAGGGAGTGGGGTCATGAAACACCTGTCTCCATGCAGGATCCTGTTGTAATCACCTGTATAATGGAAAAATGCAGTTCTCAGCATAAGTGTATGTAATACCGTGAGTTTGATATTTATAATTTTCCTCACCACGTTCAAATAATGTTCATAAATGTGAATCTCTTAAAATTCTTGAGTCATGCACTGGCCATTTTGCTTTCACACTGATTTGTGATATGGAACATGTCACACACCATCTACTGTCAACTGCCTTTTTTAAAAAGTGAAATAATATTACTAATCTGGAATATTAAAAATTGTAATAGTAATTTGGCTGCACATTTACATAAGCCCCCTTTCTGCTCACAAAATCCCTTCATTGAGGCCTTGATGGGAACATGTGTGCAGTCTACAGTGTATGGCACCAATCACGCAAGTTAAGCCTAAGGGACTGTAAGTCATAATCGGCATGGTCATCATGATTGCATTATCTTCATTAAAAATTATAATATACCCTAAGTTGGCAAAAAAACAACAACCTAAGAGCGCTAGGTAAACTTTGTGAATGGCACGAGTCACGACAGAAACTTATCAAGTTCTCCGCATCTCCAATAGTGTAAAGGGAAGCCACTCGCAAATAATTTTAAGGCAATGCAAACATTTTGTGCTGTTGTTTAAGCCCGACATCGAATCGAACATTAATGTGCATTTCCAACAAAATAATAATGTATTTAAACGGTACCCTCACGACGATCGTTTCACGAGAAAAAAAAAAAAAATCTCAGAAATTAGGCTACACTGTCACATTGCGCTAAAGGACTTCCTGTATCAGTCGCGATCTAATCCTGTTTGCATGAAATAAGCCTGCTCGCGAGCAGGTTCAAGCTGACGGACCTGTTGCTATGACAGCAAGTCCACGATGAGCTTCGAAGAACCAAACGATCCAAGATCATGGCAAATCGCCAACATTCAAATCCAGCTAACTGAGTTAGCGACGTACGAAGAACGAGCTCCTGATTCAGTTTCTTTTTCCTGTAAATGCAAGAGACTTGTTGTCTAATGTGATAATGATTGCTGACGTGTGTGGTTTCTTGTGTGTGGTGTGTGCAGATATTAGGGAACACGTGAAGCAGATCGAGAAGGCTGTTTTGGGGAAGGAGCCGAGGTTTGTTCTGCGAGCGCTGAGAGCTCTGCCCTCAACCAGCCGGAGACTCAACCCTAATGTTCTTCACAAGGCTGTGACCGGGTTCTTCACCTCCAACGCAGCGAGCAAAGAGTTTCTGCTCAGCTTTCTTGAACAGGTGCGCACACCGGCGTCTCTCATGCGCCCAGCTCACACCAGCGTGTCTCTCATTCGCCCAGCTCACACCAGCGTCTCTCATTCGCCCAGCTCACACCGCTGTCTCTCATGCGCCCAGCTCACACCAGCGCATCTCATTCGTCCAGCTCACACCAGCGTCTCTCATGCGCCCAGCTCACACCGGCGTCTCTCATTCGCCCAGCTCACACCGGCGTCTCTCATACGCCCAGCTCACACCAGCATCTCTCATTCACCCAGCTCACACCAGCGTCTCTTATTTGCCCAGCTCACACCAGCGCATCTCATTCGTCCAGCTCACACCACCGTCTCTCATGCGCCCAGCTCACACCGGCGTCTCTCATTCGCCCAGCTCACACCGGCGTCTCTCATTCGCCCAGCTCACACCAGCGTCTCTCATTTGCCCAGCTCACACCACCGTCTCTCATGCGCCCAGCTCACACCGGCGTCTCTCATTCGCCCAGCTCACACCGGCGTCTCTCATGCGCCCAGCTCACACCAGCGCCTCTCATTCGTCCAGCTCACACCAGCGTCTCTCATTTACCCAGCTCACACCATGCGCCCAGCTCACACCAGCGTCTCTTATTCGCCCAGCGCACGTCAGTGTCTCTCATTCGCCCAGCTCACGCCAGCGTTTCTCATTCGCCCAGCTCACACCGGCGTTTCTCATTCGCCCAGCTCACACCGGCGTCTCTCATTCGCCCAGCTCACACCAGCATCTCTCATGCGCCCAGCTCACACCACCGTCTCTCATTTGTCCAGCTCACACCAGTGCGTCTCATTCGTCCAGCTCACACCAGCGCATCTCATTCGTCCAGCTCACACCGCTGTCTCTCATGCGCCCAGCTCACACCGGCGTCTCTCATGCGCCCAGCTCACACCATGCGCCCAGCTCATGCGCCCAGCTCACACCAGCGTCTCTCATTCGTCCAGCTCACACCAGCGTCTCTCATTCGTCCAGCTCACACCAGCGTCTCTCATTCGTCCAGCTCACACCAGCGTCTCTCATGCGCCCAGCTCACACCGGCGCATCTCATTCGCCCAGCTCACACCAGTGTCTCTCATTCGCCCAGCTCACACCAGCGCATCTCATTCGCCCAGCTCACACCAGTGTCTCTCATTCGCCCAGCTCACTCCAGCGCATCTCATTCGCCCAGCTCACACCAGTGTCTCTCATTCGCCCAGCTCACACCAGCGCATCTCATTCGCCCAGCTCACACCAGTGTCTCTCATTCGCCCAGCTCACACCAGCGCATCTCATTCGCCCAGCTCACACCAGTGTCTCTCATTCGCCCAGCTCACACCAGCGCATCTCATTCGCCCAGCTCACACCAGTGTCTCTCATTCGCCCAGCTCACACCAGCGCATCTCATTCGCCCAGCTCATACCAGTGTCTCTCATTCGCCCAGCTCACACCAGCGTCTCTCATTCACCCAGATCACACGAGCATCTCTTATAATTAGGGCTGCAACAACTAATCAATAAAATCGATTAAAATCGATTATGAAAATCGTTGTCAACGAATGCCATTATCGATTAGTTGGTCTGATTACGTCACGGGGATTGTTTACATGTTACATGCGCTTCATGAGGCACACATGCAAGGTCTCTCTCCCTCGCCACTCTACACTGCCTCGCGCGCAACACGGACTGTTTGGAGCACATTATCTTCTGTCCCTCATGCGCGCTCTTGATTCCGTGAGTTTGAAGTTTGAACTAATTTGCGGGCATCAGCGAACCGCTATCAATATGCCGAATACACGAAAATCACTCACCTTTCAGCACAATTTGGCGTTTTGAATCCAATCGCGTATACTTTATACTAGTGGTGCAACAGATCATCACTGATCCGTGATCCGTTCGGATCAATGTCTTCGGTTCGGCACACACGTGATCCGCGGATTGATTATGAAAAAAAAATAAATAAATAAAACGTGCGCATGTTGTTCAGTCAACGCACAGCTTCGTCATAGCGAGCGGAGGAACGGAGAAGCTTGAACGCCCCGCGTCATTTCAGGGCTCCAGAGTAGACCAGACTGCGACCAAAATTTGAGAGTGTGCGACCAGTAAATTTGCCACACGTTAAACGCATGGTAAAGCGGCGCGTCAATGAATCCGTGACAAGAATAGCGCGCGTAAACATCTGTGGGAGGGAGACGGAGACAAATATCACAACCTGATGTGCGTCTGAGTAATCAGCGATCTATCGACTCGTTAGTCGTTACCTAGCAGCGAATGCAAACAAAATGAAAGTGGAACGAAAATACGCTACTCATTTATGATTAGGACCGTGGAGCAGCAGCAGCGATCTATTGACAAAATAAAGCCCCGAACTTGACAGTCGCGGGCCGATCTCGCTCACGCAACACTGTTACTAGGAGATCCAGTGAAGAAATCCATTGAATTCGCCTCAGAATTAATAACATCAACACCACGAGATCCAGTGAGAAACACTCCGATTCGGCGCAGAGTTCTGTTATAAACCATATCAGATCAAACAGAGCTGACGTGGAAACCAGGAGAAACACTTATAGAAGGCTTTCAGTCCACAAATCAGCCTATATATGATAATGTGTAAGAAATAGTCAAATGCTTACAAGTAGCCTACTACACATCTTTTCCCAGCACTTCAATAATATCATAAATAAATGTTTTATTTTTTTGAATTTTTTATGTGATTACCAACACATTTTTTGTTTATCCTTTAAAGATTGTCCTAAAATGAAAAAAGTACGATGATATTTTCACTACTTTTATTAATTGATATTAAGACATTATAAATGATAATAACCAAGTTAATTTCATCTACACCCTAAATTAAGCTTAGTGATTTATTGTCAGCCCCGGTGCTACCAGAATTTTTTTTTTTTTTTTTTTTTGTAGAACTCGCTGTGAGTTCTCATTTGAGGTGATGCTGCCCTCAACTTTCAGTCTGGAACCCTGTGAAGTTAAAATAAAACAGAATATCATAATGTTAAGTCTATTTATTATTAAATAATTTGTCAGTAGGCTATTACAGTTATTTTGGGGGAAATTTGAATAATTGCATTGCAAGCTGATTTAAGGTGTGCCCCTAAATTTTCTGCTTGCGCTCCTAAAATTTTCAGTCAGGGGCAACAGCGCTCCTAGTAAATTTAGTCTGGAGCCCTGCATTTAAATCACCTGTATGGGACCATTTTGGATTTTCCATCAAATATAACATGAAGGAAAGAGTTGCATAATCAGACCGGGCTAAAGCCATCACAAATGCTATCGGTGTGTTTATAGCTGCAGACATGAGGCCACATTCGGTTGTGCAAAACGAGGGCTTTAAACACATACTGAAAGTACTTGAGCCACGTTACGACATGAACTGTGTTGGATGAACTATCCCGAGCATCTGTTGCGCTCACGACAGGTGGACTTCTAGGGGAACGGAGCTATGTGACGATAACCGTTATCGTCACATAGCTCTCACCGCTCACAATTTAAAAGTGTTAATAATCAAAAAGACAAAACTTATGTTTATTTGTCTTGTCTTTTTTTTTTTTGCTGATCCGAAAAATGATCCGATCCGTGACCCTGATCCGAGAAACGATCCGATCCGTGAGTTTTTTGATCCGTTGCACCCCTACTTTATACTATATGAAGCCATACTATAGTATAATGTGAGATAGAAATGTATTAAGTCATTAAATTCAAGTTGACATAAGCTTTTCCCTCCATTGCGGCTGTTAGTCATTATCCATATGTCGGTGTTCAAACAGCGAGTCGCGTTCGGTTACGACAGTCAACACGATGAAACTCTTTCCAAGATGATTAAATGGTAATATTATTATAATTGATAGGTAGATACATAAAGGTCTATGGTTTCATAAAATGACTATCTTGCTAGTCTTTTATTGCTGTAACTTAATCACGTTCTACTGAGTCTGAGTGTCTGTTAGATCACAACACTAGAGTAGAGTCAGCGTACTATAATTGTTCTTCACGCGCACAGTGAAGACAGCGATTTCAGTGAACTGAAATTTAAAACTGTTAAAAGAAAAGGCTGAATGAACTATTGCATAGATACTGTATAATACACTATGCATCTATGTCTTTCTCTTTCCTTGGTGCTTTTAACTTTTCAATGCAGCGGACTCGAAGAGCGGCGCGCCGCCCTGTTACTCCGTGTTGCTTCAAGCGCATCATTCAGCGCTTGGGGTGCGTATAAGCGCTGTGTGCAGCACTGTTTTGAAGTCTTTCACAATCATGTCATAATACTTTTGCGCAATGAAAGCTTATTAATAGCCTTTCTTGTTCTGTCCCATCTATTATATGTTGCTGCCTCACTAAACAGCCGTGCGTTACATTTAAAACAGCTGTGCATCTTATTTTTACGTTGTTATTTTACAACAATACAAAGAGCAATGTGTAACGTTTTACCAAATTTAGTGCTACACTTCTTGTTCCCCACTAAGGAATGTTTTTTTTTTTCACTAAATGTTCAGATTTTATACAATTATTGTGCAATTGTGATTTTTCTAGGCTAAGTTTTGCTGAGTTGTCCACTAATCTAGTTTACAATAGCATTTTTGTCATAGGTTATGGTCATATATATATTTTATCTGTTGTTTTTATTTATAATGAAGTTGTCTGTATTAAGTAGATTGTTTAACACACAAAATAGTGATTATCAGATCAATGAGGCCTGACCCTGCTCGCCACAACCCTGATTTAGGGTTTTATTTTATAATAAACAAAAAAATTAAATATAATTTTTATCCGATTAATCGAAAAAATAATCGTCCGATTAATCAATTATCAAAATAATCGTTAGTTGCAGCCCTACTTATAATTTAAATTGCCTAGGAGTAACCATACACGTATCCACTAAAAATCCTGCTACTCACTTTCAAAGCCATCCATAAGCTCGCCCCTTCATGTCTTACTGAACTCGTTCATATCTCTCCATCTCACCGTCACACTCGCCTGCCTGCCCGCCTCATCACTATGGGGAGTAGGGCTTTCAGTCGCACTGCTCCCCAGCTCTTGAACACTTTTCTCCCTGACCTCTGCAACTCCGATTCCTTCAAACACTTTCAATCCACACTCAAAACTGTTTAGACTACTCGTTGTGACTATGTATGATGATTTATGTATGATTTATGTATGATTTATAGATGATGTATTTTAACATGTTTTTAATATAGCTAGTTTTTAGTTTGTTCTAATGTACGGTATTTGGGGTAATGTAAGGTATTTGGGATAAGATGCCGATTTTGTCCTTTTTTTTTCATTACACGCACATGCCAGAGCATAAATTGCATGTTTTTCCCCAGCAGTTGCAGCATAACCCTGCTGGCAATTTTAGACCGGGATTAAAAATGGTTCATTGAACAAACAAAATTGACACACCCAAAGTGAAATGGCTGCAGCTCTATAGGAACAATCCTGGTCTCTTTTCAATATTTCTTGTTTATATATATATATATATATATATTAGGGGTGGCACGGTTCACGAAACCGACGGTTCGGTTTGTATCACGGTTTAGGGTCACGGTTTTCGGTTCTGTACGGTTCTTGTTATTTTTTCTTTTAATCTTTAACACTCCAGAAATGTACTTCAGCATGTGATATATAGCTTAATTATCCACACTTTAGGATACAGTATGAAAGAAATGATATTCATGGAATCACGCACAAACTGAATTTGACTCTTTGACTTTAAGCACATCTCAGAGGAAAGCTAGGTGAGATTTTGACACAGCAAGAGAGAAGACATTGACATGCTTTTCGTTTATTTGGCAAAAAAAAGGAGAATGTGCATCACTATGTCTACAAGAACTTGTGCATTTTTATCACACAAATCTTATGTACACAAAGAAATTAACTTGCATTTATCAACTGCCAACTTTTGTAGCTCTTTACAAAATTCTATCTTTTAAAAGAAAAAAAGAGGAACTCTTAAAACACTGTCTTTTATGAATAAGTCAATATACATGAAACCTAATTGCCTATAATTAGCTATAGCAATAGCAAAGGCCATGAACATAAAGTTAAACATAAGTTCAACCTCAACACAAAAGACAGTATCAACAATGCTTCTATTCCCAGAGAGTGAGGGTACTTTTTTTCACTTGAAATTAAAGTGCAGGATTTGGAAACATTTGACTGAAGCTCTTATCTAAACATAAAGTGCCACTGTAGCGTTATATTAAAATATCATAACATGAAATCCAAAATGTTCCCACACACTGGACTTATACCATAGACTTCTACGACGCTGGCACATCCTCCAACTCCCTCATCTCTCCCACTTGCCATTTCTCCACGTGCCGTGACCTGCAGCGCTCCATACTCCACTTTTACTGTTTACTAACTCGAACCGGCGCTGCACAGAGCGATCGGTAATGACATCAAATACCGCGAAAGTAATTGAAAAGCATATGGAGCCGTCGCTCTTGCACTAGTTTGATGTTATTCACCGGTCGCTCTGTGCTGCGCCGGTCCAAGTCGAACAAGCTTATGTTGCGCGAAAAGAAGACACACGTCACATACGGACACGAGGCTACATTGCGCATGCGTCAAACCGTGAGACGCACACATGCTCGGAGCCGAGACAAGCGAACCGAACGGTTCGGGTGTTTTTTCATGTACCGTGCCACCCCTAATATATATATATATATATGTGTGTGTCTGTGTATGTATCCTATATTCTCACTCTTTCAAGAGTGGCAGAGGGCTGACAATAAAAAGCTGTGACTTCTGTCTCATTTGCCCTTACTTGAAACTCTCTGAAATGAAAACAGATAGCCTTCAATGCATGAACACAATTATTGTAAGGAACCGAATTTGGGCGCTTTATCATATTTTTGCAATTGGTCTAAAAGTAGCTGGAAAGGGTTAACATTGAGCCCAGAGGTTTATTGCAGGCCTGAAATGAAACGTGAGTTGCTGTTGATTAGTAACAGAAGTGTGTGTCCTGCAGCCGGTGGAGAATGAGGGCGACGTGCAGTTCCGGCCTCGCACAGGTAAAGCTGCCGCCTCGCCCCTGCTGCCCGAGGCCGAGGCCTATCTCCAGCTGCTCATGGTGGTCTACCTCACCAACAACCAGCGCTACGCCGAGGTGAAAACACGCACCGTACAGTTCTGTTGGAACTTCAATTATTCAGTCGTCCAAATAACCATCAGTTTCAGGCCTGAGATGCTCTTGATTTCACCCATAAACAGGCCCAGAAAGTCTCGGATGACCTTCTGCAGAAGATCGGCTCTCAGAACCGTCGGGCTTTGGACTTAGTGGCTGCCAAGTGTTACTACTACCATTCCCGTGTGTACGAGTTCCTGAACCAGCTCGATGTGGTCCGCAGGTGAGCCGTCTTTCCACAGTAACTCGAGTTCAGCCTGAGAAGAGTGTGTTTCATACGGTTGTGTTGTTGTGTTCCCCAGTTTCCTGCACACACGCTTGAGGACCGCTACGTTACGCCGTGATGCTGACGGCCAGGCCACGCTCCTCAACCTGCTTCTGCGCAACTACTTACAGTACAATTTATATGACCAGGCTGAGAAACTTGTGTCCAAATCAGTGTTCCCCGAGCTGGCCAATAACAACGAGTGGGCTCGCTATCTGTACTACACCGGTGAGTGAGGCCTGGGTCGGGGAGCCCTCCAGATGGGTTTTCTCCTGAGTTAGTAATTCAATTCAGTGAGAAGGAGAAACTAGAGTCTGAGTTAATAAAAAAAAAATCTAAACTATTAGTAACAGTCTAAATCTCTCAAATGATCATTTTCATGAGACAAAATATGTGTTATTATTAGTAAATGGCATAGTAATATTGTGACGTTAGGATTATTATTATTATTATTAAGTGTTTGGCTGGTTTCAGGGCGCATCAAGGCCATCCAGCTGGAGTATTCAGAAGCCAGGAGGACTCTCACTAATGCGCTGCGTAAAGCTCCTCAACACACAGCTGTGGGCTTCAAGCAGACCGTTAGTGTCTCTCGCTCTCTCTCTCCTTTGTGTGCGTGTTGTAGGGGTTGAACGACTTAAGATTTTTTGAAGTCGACTGTTATGACATCAAAGTCGAGTCGACGTCGACTAGTCGCTGACGTCATTCATAAAACACAAGAGATGTGACAGATTTGCCACAATTTGCAAGTAATTAACAGAAAATTATACAGACGCTGACAGCTCATAATGGGGCCGTTTACACCTGAACACTTCATGCGTTTTTACTGACCTGATTTATCAAAACGATTCCATTTACACCTAGTCACATAAATATGTTTTCGCAAAATAGATATAAATCCGCGCTATATGCAGATTTAACGGAGTTCACGTCACCGAAAGCAATGCTGCATTTTATTGATCATCAGCTAATTTCACAATTAAAGACTGCAATAAGAGAGACAGCACTGGTAAGATAATTTTGTTTCTTTACTTTTAACGAAGATGATTTTGTGTGTTAAGCGTCTGTGACTTACTTTCACTTTGATTTACGATAGTTTGCACGTTGGCTTTATGAATCGATGCTCAGCTGCGGTGCGTGTTATAGCTTCGTCATATAAAGAATATAATAGCACAGGCTGCTCTCACACGTTTTATTTCAGCATTTTTGGGAGAGGTCCAATTTACATATGCGGTTTCAACAACCAGATGCATTTACACGTGTCCAGTTTCGTCTGTAAAGCGGCCCAGACCTCCTCATGAAGTGATTTGAGCGATCGGATTTAAATCCGTCTTCAATGCGTTTCGGCGGGCATTTAGCTTACATCTGGTCTTTTCACGATCGGATAGCAATCAGATCACAGTCGTGAAGTGGCCAGATGTAGCTAAACAGCCCGCTGTTTACATCATCATTTAGGATGAAAAGGGAAAAAAAGCTATTCACATCTGCACGTTAGTGATGGTAATACAAAATAATATTCCAATTGATTGCGGATGAATTAGATGCATTAATATGTTTAAATAAATATATGAAAAAAAATAGGCTAATGTTTGAATGATTTTAAAAGAGACTGCTCTCATTTCCCGGTAAAACAGTGAGCGTGCGTCATGCTTTTACTTTCGTTTTCAACAATATAGTGGTGTTAGTAAAGTATTCCCATACGCTTTATGTACCAATGCTGCTTTCTTGCTGCAATGACCCTCTAGGCTCTTCATCTGTTGTCGTCTGTAACGCGGCCATAGACTATCAAAATTAGTGCGATCATACAGTGTCACATGATCAACGCGACTAGTCGACGTCAAGCTTAAAGCGTCACGGCATTGCATTAAGGTCGACTAATCGACTAGTCGGTTCAACCCCTAGCGTGTTGTGATGCTGACGATGAGTCCTCACCTCTCTCTTTCTCTTTCTCTCGATCGCTATCTCTCTCTCTCTCCACTGTGTGTGTAGGTTCATAAGCTGCTGATCGTGGTGGAGTTGTTGCTGGGTGAGATTCCAGACCGTCTGCAGTTTCGTCAGCCATCTCTGAAGAGATCTCTCATGCCCTACTTTCTGCTCACACAGGGTAACTCACTCGCTGCACACGCCTAACCTGCAAACATTCACACACTTGCGTCACTGTTCGACTGGATTTAATTGTTCCTCCTGGGGGTTTAACAGTACATCGCGATTCAGTAGTGTGCCAAAATTAGGGGTGTCAAGTTATCATTTCTACGATGCATCGCGATGCAGACGAGGACGATTCGGGACCGGTTCAGTAATGGACCATAACCGATTATAATGTATTGACACACACACACGGTGCACTGATCCATCACTTTTGAAGTAAAATTGAGGATGCGGTGCATCGTAAATCATAATGATATCGAATTGAACTGAATCGATGACATGATAATCGTAATCAAACCGAACCATAAGACCAGTGAAGGTTCACACCCCTGGTCAAAAGGCGTCGTGGATCTGAAATAAGGATTGCAATATAATGCATGTACAGTTCGTGTGGATTTTGGGTCGAGCTCTAGAGCAACTAGTTAGTCCCAATGCATCGGTGGAAGAATCACAAAGAATTGATCTGTGTGAACCAAGCATCGACAGGAATCATCTGAACCACATATTATTTAAATCACAATCATAGTTTTGATAGTCAGTTGTGCATCCTTCATGTGTTGTCTCAGAGGCCAAAGAAAGGAGTGGATGCTGAAAGGCTGTGTATTCATTATTAAATCGAAAATACCTTACTTGACGTTTAAGTGTGTAATCAACATCACTAATATTTTAAAACTTAAATGATAAATATATAACCAGTGAAGTTGTGTTGGATGTATTTTAGCGTACGGTTTCTGATGTGCGGTGAACGGGCACGATCGAACAACTCGAGTCCGTCCCTCATCTATTACGTCACTGCTCTTTCATTTACAGGACTGTACATTTTATGACTGTACACTGTACAAGTAAAAGAGAAAAAAACTTTTCATTTGTATTACAAGTAATTAAGCTCCAAATTCTTAACTTCTGGTTCTGAATCTAGCGGTGAGAACTGGAAATCTTGCCAAATTTAACCAGGCGTTGGATCAGTTTGGAGAGAAGTTCCAGACAGACGGCACTTACACACTGATCATCCGTCTGAGACACAACGTCATCAAAACCGGTGAGTTCTGCTTCTCTTTACTTTCATTCTTTATAATGAGCAAACAGTTCGAGTACACACTACATTCTTCTTCTTGTGACGTGTTCTTGCGTGTAACCTGTTCTTGTGTTCTTCTGTTCTTGTGTTGAATTATCTTTGTTTGGTGCAGGGGTGAGAATGATCAGTCTTTCGTACTCTCGGATCTCTCTGGCGGACATCGCTCAGAAGCTGCAGCTGGACAGTCCTGAAGATGCCGAGTTCATCGTGGCCAAGGTCAGTGTCCCGCTCATTTGACCAGCATCATACACACACACATACACTCACTGACTCAGTGTATCTCCAGGCTATCCGTGACGGTGTGATTGAGGCCAGCATAAACCACGAGAAAGGTTACGTTCAGTCTAAGGAGACCATGGACATCTACAGCACTCGAGAGCCTCAACTCGCCTTCCATCAGCGCATCTCCTTCTGTCTGGATATCCACAACATGTCTGTCAAGGTAGGACAAACATATCAAACGGATTGTTTCAAAATAGTTGGAAGAATTGTGTGTAGTGTCTTGAACCCATTCGAGTGAATTGTGTCTCATTCACCGACCGCCTGTAACATATGTGTCAAACTCAAGGCCCGCGGGCCACAACCGGCCCGCAAATAAATTATCTTTGGCCCGCATGATAAAATGTATTTATTTTTAGTGCTGGCCCGCCGGTATATCGGTTCAAATTACGTGGGAGCGAGTGGGAGCTGAGCACATAGAGAGAGCGCCGTCACGCGACAAGCAATGACACGTCACTGTGGAAACATGACCACGAAAGCATACCACAATAGAGGGTTTCACCTATGTCACATTCTGGGCGGTAACCCGGATGAGCGGCCATTATGGAGGCACTCGGATGTAAACAACAGCATGGACTGCACTGTTCATGTACTACTGAACACATTGTTACACTAAAAAAACCCCAGAAAAAACCCTTGGTAGGTGCGAAATCTTATAGAGAAGGACTTGCCAAGCAGGAGAGAGCGTAATATTTTGACAAACTAAAGTAAATATGTGGTAATGGTCCGAACGAGCTAGCTTCTCTAGCCCGTACTGCAATTCTTCCTTCTATTTCTTATTCCGACATAGGCTACGCTCAGATTGTCAGTCCAAAAAGCACATGGAATCCGTTTCAGACTACATCCATATGTGGTTTGAAATCCTATTCAAATACCAGGACAAATGCCTCAGTCTGAACAATTGGATTTCGGGTGGTATGCGACTCTCACGCCACATGAAATGTAAACATCAGTGGTTGTTAGAGGAGACATGCTGCAAGTCGCTACCGAAACAATGCTGTGCTGTTGCAAAGTGCCGGACGAGCAGAAAAATATTATTTCTGAAACATATACTGAAACTGGCGCAGACAAGAGCACGAAAAAAGCTGTAACGTTACATAACAGCCTCCTACACTTCTGTAGCTCAATACGCAATCTAGTCCAGTGCGGCGGTGGCTACACACATCCATGTTGTAAAAATTAAATAAGAAAACATCTCTATTGCAAATGCAAACCCCTCCATCAGCAGTGATGGGAATAACGGCGTTATTTTATAACGCCGTTACTAACGGCATTACTTTTTCCAGTAACGAGTAATCTAATTAATTACTCTTCTCATCTTAACAACGCCGTTATCGTTACTGCCAAAAATGCGTCCCGTTACTATAACAACTGATGAAGCTGTTTTTTTTTTCATCAGACCAACTAGATCTCTGAGCGAGAGGCACACTTTTTTACTGTTCTTCCATTGAGCACGAGACAAGCGCATAAATGCTGACGATTGGCTGAGGTAGAGTAAACTGTCACTGTAAGCCAATCAGAGGTAGAGTTGGGCGGGTGTTCTAAAGCACGCATAGTAGTGATGAGCATTCGGCTCTTTTGACTCAGCTCTGAAAAGAGCCGGCTCTTTTGGCTCACAAACGGCTCTTTAAATGACTTTGACTATTAATAATGTTTCACTTTTTATTATATAATTATTTAATTTCTATAGGCTAAATTTGTAAAAATAGAGTCGGCTCTTCAGATATGCGAGCCAGCTCCCGACGTTCAAATAAAAGAGTCGGCTCATTCGCGAATCGCGAACAACCCATCAAAAGCTCATTCGCGAACGAGTCGATCCATCATCACCTACGCTCCTCCGCGAATAGGGTTGCCACCCGTCCCTTAAAATACGGAATCGCCCTGTATTTGTGAAATAAAAAGCGCGTCCCGTTTTGAATCAATACGGGACGCGATTTGTCCCGTATTTCCGACGCATGATCCCATGCAAATCATGCCACCTGCATTCTGTGAAGACGCGTCCTATTCTACCCTTGATTGGGTAATACGCGCTGCCATTGTTGGTTTGATTGGTTTGTTTAACACCATCAGGTTCAGGGCCAATCAGAGTCAGAAGAGGGCGGGTCTTTTGGCAGAGAGTTGCGTCCACCTCTGAAACGAAAGCGTATGCAAAAGTAACGACGAGAGTGTGAGGAAACAAATACTTCGCTGGAAAGTGTCAGTGGCAATGAATAGCCTAAATAAGTTATAATAATAAATAAGAGAGAGAGATATTAAATACATATTTAATAATAAAAATTTGAATGTTGTGGAGAAAAATAACTTGCTTAACAAACCCAGATAATTCCATAGGCTATACTATAGAATTAACAATAGCCTATGTCTGAATACATAAATAATAAATAGATTTTCTTACCAATAATACAAATAGTCATATCAACAGACATAATTTTACATAGACCCACACATAAACAAATAAGGATTTTACAGTAGGCTATGGATAATACTAATAGCCTAATTATAATGAAATCAATTTCACAAGAAGTAGAGTAATTAATTTGCCCGTGGTTGCATTTTAGTGTCTGTTTCCATGATGAGTCTAGAGAACATGCGACTAAAAACAGCATGCCATGACCTATGGCCGTGACAGACAAATCCTTGCTTTTAAAGGTATAGGCCTATGTTTTTTTTTTTTTTTTTTTTTTTTTTTTTCTTTGGAAAATAAATATATAATATTAATATACAGAGCTTGGTAGACAAGTAACCTATTTGTTAATGTTATTAAACAGATTAATATATTTAAATATTATAATTTGCATTATTAAATATTAATCATATATGCATACTAAATTGTGATCCTATCTGTTATACACACTTTATGGCAATTAAAGGAAAGTTTTAAAAGTGCTACATTATTTAAATAAAAAATTAACAAACAATTACATAACAATTTCAAAATCAAATTAAAAATCAATTTTAGTAAATAAAAACAATCCATGCATAATTGTCAAAAACATGATTAATGGTTCTGTAATCCCTAACATATACAGAAGAGTTTATATAAGTAAATAAGAGTAAAATAATAAAATGTAAAATAATAATATAATTTTTTTTCTGTTGCAAGCTCACATACTTGATCTCATTTTTTCTCGTGGTTTATTGTTGAGCTGTCAAGTTGGCATGTTGAAATAATCAGTTCCATACACTTGACGCATTTTTTTAAAAATTTAATTTAATTATTTATTTATCTCGTGTGTGGGTGTCCCTTATTTTGCCTCAGTGAAGGTGGCAACCCTATCCGCGAACGACCCATCATCACTATCGGCTAACGCTCATGAATTGCGAACGACCCATCATAACGCATAGTCGGACAGGAATAACGGACACAAGAAATAACACAAGCCAGTCAGTCAACGAGAGACGGGTATGCCGACGAGCCTAAATAATCCAAAAGTAGCCTTCTCTAAATGGTATTGCTTATGTTAAGTAACAATCCAGATACAATTCAGTGTTATTTATTTGTTAGTTTTCGTCTCAATGCGCTGGCATAACATCAGTGAGCGAGGGAGCAGCAGCACGACATTCATCTCAAGGAAGGAACACAAGTTGAGTCAAAATAAAAGTCCCCATTTGTTCACACATGCGCACAATGAACTCTTGCACATTTTTAGTAACAGTAAATAGCATAAAGGAAAAACAAAATAACAGTAAGAAACATAAAATAATATAGTTAATGAGAACATATAACTCAACAGCTTAACAAACTTAATTTAATTTTGCCCAGTTGTGGCCTGTTGAGGGGCAATAAATATCAAAAGTTCCAAAACATCTATTGTGTTATTTGCATTGATCCACTATATAAACATAATATCTACATACATGGCATTTGATTGGAGACTAGTCTCACTTTGTCCCACAGCAACATTTTTTTTTAGATGTGTGTACAATGTTTCATGTTTCTGTTAATGTATTGTATTAAGTGTCCATTTCATTATAAAATTCAGATTTTTCATAAATAATTGAACATGCACATGTGTTTTAAGTTCCGTTAAATAGGGGTAGAGGTGGGGTCACGTTTGAGCATTTAAAATGTAATTTTACTTGAAAGTAACTCAATAGTTACTTTCTTAAGTAACTAATTACTTTTTAAAATTTGTAACTGAGTTACTTATTTAGTTACTTTTTGGAAGAAGTAACTAGTAACTGTCAAGTCAAGTCACATTTATTTATATAGCGCTTTTCACAATACAGATTGTATCAAAGCAGCTTCACACTGATAACATGAAAGTAGCACAACACAGATCAACAACATTGCTAAACACTAAATAATCCCAACTGAGCAAGCTCAAAGCAAGCCAAAAGCAAGGCGACATTGGCAAGGAACCAAACTCCATCAGATTGGATGGAGAAAAAACCTTGGGAGAACCCAGGCTCATTCGGGGGCCAGTTCTCCTCTGGCTTACATTTATATTGTTTAAATATAAATATTAAATATAAATATACTGTAAATAACTGTAACTAATTACTTTTTAAAAGTAACTTGCCTAACACTGTCCATCAGTGTCAATGTCAGTGCCGTATTTCCTGAGAGCTGCATGGACTCACAAATCGGATCTGAACAGTTGCAATAAACAGTGTGGACATCATTTTAGATCAGACTCCAGTCGGATATAAAGATAATCTGATTTGGACTGACAGTATGAATGTAGCCATAGTTAATTTGTTAACATTTTAGCCATAGTCAAACCTTCATTTACACATTAGCTGATGAGCTGATGCTGTGCCTCTCTCAACCACAAACGCCTTCTTTCATCAGTTTTTTGCACTCTTCTCTTTAACTTTTGGCAGTCTACAGAACTCAAAAGGTATTTTCCCTGATGCGACCGATTAGTACAGAACAAAACTCAACCATTTTTCAGCAGAAATAATCAGCCAAATTTGCGAGTCCGTTCAGTTCAATGGCATTGTTTATGTTCTGTGCCTCCAAAATGGCAGACTTCCGGATTGATGACGCGTCGTGAAAACCCTGTATAATCAACTAACTCTCTCCCAAAAAAATGGCTAAACGAAAGGTGGACTTTGAAAAGGTGGACTTTCATTTTTGCTTTTTTGCTTTCTCTTGCTACAGGACATTTGATTTTCCTTTGAAGTATAACTTTTGTAAATAACCATAAGAAATTAGTG